GATCTTTCGTATGATTTCAAGCCAGAAATTCCTCAACTAAGCGTGTTTGGAGTCTCTGGGTTGTGAAGGCACGGAGAATGCTTGTCACCGGTTGGCGAAGGGGCGAAAGGCTCTGCTTGATTCAGTCAACGAAAAGCCCCAGCGTTCTGTCGAGGTTTAGGGCGAGGGTTTAAAAGGTTTACTATACCTAGCAAATTTAGGTGAAGCTGTTTCTTAAGGATTGTAGGAACCAAAAATTAAGCACTACCGTTGATGGTATAAATCCTGCATGACCCATAATAAGGGATATACCATAATTCCCGATAGTTTAGGATCATTATGATAATGCAGGATTTATATCATCAGCCGTATTTCGAAGCACCCCTGGTCTTAAGACTGCAGCGCATTAAGGGCTGTAGGGCTTCGGAGTCGGGCTCGGGGGCTTCCTGGCCTTCTGGGGGGGAGTTCGGGCTTCTATTTTCTGGGGAATTAAACCTAAATCAAAAGGGAAAAGGAGGGACGCTGAATGGGGACCCCTACCCTATAATGGGCTATAGAATGGGTATATAATAGCTATATTAGGGGTATATATCAAGGGGTCCTTATTAAGGGTCCCTCCTTTTACCCTTGGACTAAACGGGTTTCAGGAGACAAGAAGTCCTAAACCCTGAAGCCCCGGAATGCTAAACCACTTAAGGGATCATGGGACTTAGTAACTAGGGCTATAATTAGAGTAACTATACTTATAACTCCTTATAACCCCAATTAAGGTACTTATAACCTGACTTACTAAGTCCCATGATCCTCCAAGCAGTGAACCCTCAATAGTAGGCTCCCAACAACTTAGAAAGTAAACAGATCAGCGTATGTTTGAGAGATCCCTTGGAAAGAACGTAACCCTTGAAGGCACGAGCTAAAACAAGTAGCAAAGAGTAGTATAGTAGGGTGGGAAGTTGAAAACCTAGGCCCTAAACCTTAGTCAGGGACCATCGGCGTCCGAAGTCAATCTAAAAGCTTCGGTGCTTTTTCGAAGGGGTTGTGCAAAAGATTGGTGAACTTCCCGGGTTTAGGGTTACTTCAGGGTCAAGAAGAGGCTCTCAAGTTAAGGGCTCTACTACGACAGGGTGGGTACAAAACTTGTATCCCGACCATGGGGTTCGTGGTTTAGGGTGTAATATAATTAGGGGTTTTCATAATTAGCAAGAGGTTTTGGGGCCCATTATACTATAGCTATAATAAAGAATCCCCAAAATAATATTATTGTTAACAGTTTAAGCTCCTTAAGGTGTGGGGGTTTCAGCGTCTAGGGTTCAAGGTTTTGGTTCGGGGTTCGGCTTACGGGTTTAGGGTTGAGGTTTGGGGTTCAGGGTTTGGGGTTTAGGGTTTGCGGTTTAGGGTTTATAAGTTTAGGGCTTAGGGTTTAGGTGTGCATCGGGGCTTTCCATGTTAAACCTCCTCCTTCGGAGGAGGTTGTCAGGTGGCAGAGACACCATCCAGAAGGGCCAAAAAAGTTGAACAGCGAAACATGTCGTCCTGAGGCTCGACCCGGCTTTGACCTGAAGCTACTTGGGGTTTAGGGTTTAGGGAGGTTTGCCTCTGCCACGATAATCTTACCAACTAATTAGGCCCTACGAGTACAATTGGCACAAGTTCGAAGATTCTGAACCCTTCCCCAACTCTGCCGCACGATCTCGTGGAAAGCCTGCTTCGGCTTTGGGCTATACTACAGTATATGCATATGGGTATAGGATTCGGGACTCCTTTGGAATAAAACAAGTAATTAATCGAAGCAACGCTTCACAGGTTTTTGGTGCATATTTGAATCGCTGATCATCTTTCTTCTGTATTTATCAACGAAACCTCATGAATAGCCATGATAGTAAGTATCCAGGCTCCCGCTGCAGTCTGAAGCACTTTGAGCATGTGCAATCCTCATGTAGATACCTGATTCCCCAAACCTGCTGCCCTTTTATCCGTAATGTGCCAAGGATCCTAAGATTAAAGCCTTGAGCCGCCCCACCAGTGCACTGTAGAGGCCAAAAGAACAGACGGACGACAGCAAGGAGTCTCCGTGTGCGCGAGGATTCCCCCAAACTCGTTCCCCCAAGTATAGTTACCCTACTTGTAACCCCACTTATAACTGCCAATGAACCTCCAAGTAACCCTGAACCGTAAAGCGTAAAGAAGCTTAGCTGAAGCCGTCTCATCCAGCTGGGTTCAGCTGCACGCCTTAGCTAAAACGTGACTGGCACTTTGTCACGTGGGTCCTTCGCACTCTCAGCCTTTGTCGCCACCAGCGCCGTGAATCTCCGAGAAATGATGGGCTAAAGCCACGAAACTCAAGTTACTTAAGTTACGATACCCGAAATTCTAGACTCTCAAGTTTACGCTTTAGCACCTGAGCCAAAACCCGACCAACTAAACCCCAACTTGTAAGCCCTGAACCCTAAGATGACGTCGTCGTCGTCATCGAGGTAGCAGCAGCAACAGCAGCGGTGGCCGTGGCAGTGGAGGTGGCAGGAGCAGCAGCAGCGGTGGCGGCGGCAGCAGCGCCCGGAGTAGTAGCAGAAGCAGTATAGCAGCAGCACTAGCAGAAGCACTAGCAGGAGGAGGAGGAGGAGAAGGAGGAGGAGCAGAAGACTAGGGGCAGGGAGTGGTAGTAGTAGCAGTAGTAGCAGCAGTAATTAGTAGGAGTAGTAGCCTCCTTGCTATAGCTACTTGCTGGTAGTGGTCGTTGTGCTGCTGCTCTTTTTCGTGCTAACACGATACTATGATTATTGTACCCGGGGCTGTAAACCATTGTCGTTATACTTCTGCTGTGACTGTCATTGTCGCTGGGTTTGCGTTTGTGTAATCAACGTCAAAGCACGAATCCGAAGATTTAAACCCCGAAACTCAGAACCGTATTTGGAGGTTCATGGGTAATCATATGTGGGGTTACAGGTGGGGGTAATCAAAATCATGACCTTTTATTAGGGGACTTGTAACCGCAGTAATAACTCCTGTTAGAAATGTGCGGATGAATCCTCTCTTGGCTGGCTTTGGAAGTGGCTTGATTTTTACAGCCTCGGCAACTCTTTGAACTGGGTCCAATCCTTAAACCCGAGTTTTTCCACTAAATCAAGGAGTAAACCAACAGCCCTGCACTCTAAACTCCGCACACCCCAAACAGTTGCACAAACCTAGACCCGAAACACCCTAAGCCCTGAACTTTAAACTCGAACCCCGAAACCCTGTGTCCTATACTCCCTAAACCCTATAATCCTTAACCGTGACTCTCTATAAACTGAGCCCCTAAGCCCTAAAGGAACCCCCAAACCCTACACCCCAAACACTGAGCACTAGACTTGGGATCCTGTAAAACCTACCTTTCTAACAACTTATATAAGGAACTCATAACAAGGAGCCCTAAATTAAACGGGTTGGCAACTTAGGGTCCAAGTAAATAAACCCTAAACATCCTTAAACCCCAAACCCTTTTTCACACTAACCACGGAGATCCTTCCGGCTCTGGGCGGAAATTGAAAAATGCTGTGGCCAAAGGGTCTAAGTTATAGTATAGTATGTACTTTTGAGGCCCAAATACCTACGATAATGGTACTTGGACCCTTTGGGGTGGCCATTTATGGAACTCATGGCTTGGCCAGCAGTCGTCTCAAAAGCGCGTTTTACTAAGAATACTCGTGTTGTTTTGATTCTTCATACTATTGCTTTTCTTTTTGGTAGTAGTAGTCGTCGTCGTAATAGTTTGCTCCCGAGACGACTGCAGAATCTCCCAGAGGGCTCCGGATTCTTGTGTCTTAAGCGGCAAGGGTTTAGGGCTTAGGGCATATTTCCAAAATACCTATATAGTCGAATGTAGGGTTTCTATATTCGGGGTTGCTATCGTGATTTGGGAAAGTATTTCCCGTAACAATACCCAGGACCCTTTAGGTTAAGCCGCAGGGGACGACTACACTGCATGTCATACACGGCCTTCTATCGGGTCCTGCAAGCTCGTGCAGGTTCATGAAACTAGAAGGGTTTCTCTAACTTTACAAGGTTCTATACAGGGTTCTGTCATGCGCTTGCGGTCTATGCCGATATGATTGAGGCAGTAGTCGTAGCCCTAATGAACAAACCCTTCTTCCGAAACCAGGAGTATAGCATGGATCCCCGTACAGTTGTTGATATAAAACCTGCATTACCCATGGTCTAGGGTCACTAAGGTAATGCAGGACTGCCTCATCAACCCTCAACCCTAAACACTAAAACCCTATAGATCCCTTAAGGGAAATCCTTAAAGGTACCGTTATAGATCCCTTTCAAGGTATCATCTACCGTACTATGGGCAAAAGGCTTAGGGCATCTAGGAAGTATGGGCTTCAGATCGACTGTTCCCCCGAAAGAAACTGACTTAGCGATGCTCTCAGTCCGTCCTGTACTTGGAGGTTCCTGGCTACTGTAGTTATAAGTAAGTCCCCTAATATGTACTGTATGTATAGCTATAACCCCACTTATAACAACCCATGGACCTCGAAGTATACACTGACATACACTGGCCAAACGCCTGTGTAATGCATGCCCTTTCACAGGGCCCTAGCGCAAACAGCACAGTTTGACAGTTTCAGAAAACCAGGCTCCCTAACACAGAACACCAAATAGCAGGAACCTAATAAGAACCAGCTCGTCCTGACGGCTGTAGTCACCTGTAGTTTAAGAAACTCCCATGTAAGCAAGTTGAGCCTCTTAATAGGGCTCTCTTAAACAGGATACCCTCCATAAACCCCCAAACCCAGCCCCTAAATCCTGCGACCAGCCCTAAACTCTGCCCTAATCCCAGAACCTTAAACACTCAAACTTAAACCCTACCTAGACCCCCAAAAGTAGGTGAAATAATGGCCCAATACCCATAAAAAGGCTCTTGTTCTACATACTTGTAGGGTTTGTTACTATAACTTCCATAGATAAGTTTTTAGCAAGCTAGGTTATTTGGGGTCAAGGTTAGCCCATTAAGGCAAGAAAGGAGCCCCTGGGCACGATCAGGCAGCAGCAAATGCTTCTTCTGCCGGATTCACGCTGCCGAGGTTCTCTTTCCTGAGCAGGGCTCTTGGGGTTACTTGGACCCTGAGGAACCTACCTTTTGAGGGTTCCCTAATAAGGGATCTATAGGGTTTAGGGTTTAGGGTCTACTTGGAGGATCCTGGGATTTAGTAAGTAAGTTTATAAGTACCTTAATTGGGATTATAAGTAGATTTAAGTATAGTTAACCTAATTAGAAGCCTAGTTACTACGTCCCATGGTCCTTTAAGTAGGACTTGGGGTCTAACATTGGGGTTCACAGGTCTAAGATTTAGAGTTTAGGGCTTTTTCTTCGGATCTCGGAAGTGAAAAACTACCCATACTTCAAGTTACCATAAGCTACACTTTTGGGTCATATTACAAGCCCGTAATGCAGAAATTGCAAGAGGCCCTACAGACAAGCATGTCAAGGTAGAGCTTCTTCCTAGTTTTGGAGTTGCATGTACCCTACTATAGATGCCTCAATAAGTACCTATACATTTTTTCGGGGGGTCCTTATTATAATTCAGAAATATTATACCCCCCAAGCCCTATTAAAATTATGAACGCCCCTATATTACACAATGGAGCCAAGAGCAAATCTGCACATCGAAAATCTGCCATGGTTTCATGGATTCAGGCTTTCTGGCATCAGCGTTTCAGGATTTCGGGACTGAGGGGTTGATGGTTTAGGGTTCAGGGTTTGGGTTTAGAGGCTTAGGGTTTAGGGGTTTAGGTTTTTTTTGGGTCGCTTCAGACTCAGCCGCTGCCTCTCGTTGAGCCCAGGCGTTCGCGCAATGTCAAGCTCGATGGTGGGATTGACGGCGTCGCAGTGATGCAGGTACTCTGCGACGGGTTCCACACCGGCGTCGAAGGTCCAGCGGTGCCACCTGGCCACATCTGGCAGCTCAATCAGCCGTCGTCGCGAGCGCACGTCCCCCTCGCAGGGTCCATCCGACGGCTTGATGACCACATCCTGCACGTGGAACGTGGGGTCGTCGAGATCGAAGCGACTGTAGTACACGGATGCCTGGCTCCCAACGCCTGCCCTTCTCGAACGCCTCTCGCCACTCCTTTGGGAGGAGCGCAGTGACCCAGTTCCAGCACGACATGGCAGTCTGTCACAAAAGATGAATACCCTGGGGGGTTTAGGGTTTAGGGTTCAGGGTTTAGGGTTTTGGGTATCAGCATCCACAGTGCCCATACCTAAACCACACTGGGCCGGGAAGAACAAAGACAAAAGCCGGAAACCCGGAAACCCCAAACTCGAAATTCGCTTCTCAAAGGGGAAGAGGAGGGACCCTTAATGGGGACCCCTACCTCATAATGGGTTATAGAATGGGTATATAATCTATATATTCAGGGTATATACCTAGGGGTCCTGTTTAAGGGTCCCTCCTTTTACCGTTGGAGCTTCAGTCTTCCTCAAGGTCCCTATGGCAGAAGTGCTTGGAATTCGGGGTTGAGGCTCTATCCCAATCCCCATAGATGGTAGGCAAAAGGTCTTCGGATACTTGGGGGTTCATGGGTAGTTATAAGTAGGGTTATAAGTAGGGTAGCTATGCGTATAAGTCATAATATTGGGACTTATATAACCCTACTTATAACTACCCATGAACCTCCAAGCAGCCCTATCAAGGCAAGGCACACGTTAAACCGAGTAACCAAGAGCCTTGCACCCTAATCCCCGCAAATCCTATATAAACCCGAATATCGGGGCCTGAATACGTAAGGGATTGGGGTATATAATAGCACGCTTATAAGGAGAAACCTGTGAGATTATTGCTGATTATAGTTTATACCCATTGCTGATTATAGTTTATACCCATCCTGACCCCTAAGCCCTAAAGTCTAAGCCCTACCCTGTTTGCATGGGGCAATAGAGTGTGCAGTCCAGGGCTCTGTGAACGCATGCAGCCTCCGGAGCCACAGTAATACAAGGTTATACTTTCCGGTTCCTATGAGACTACAAGAACTGAAGGTTAGGTATTGGGGATCTAAGTATAATGTCAAGTCGCCAGGCACCAAAAAAGCGCAACGACACGGAATTCTTTGGCAAATCCTGGGCACTGGCTTATAGGGACTCAGGCTGGGCTGCTCACTTTTGGGGCTTACAGTAAAAGCCAGAAAGTTGGAATATGATTATCCTAAGCCGTTTATGGTAAATTACAAGGTACCCTACCCTGAAACCATATTCCAACTTTCTGGAGTTTCCTATAGAGTGAGGGATCATGGCGGTTTAGGGTTCACGGTTTGAGGGTGCTCATCAGTAGCTAGAAGAAGATGGTGTTGGTGGTAAAATTTTCCAGAGTCAAGGACTACAGAGGGATCTTACCACCATACTTGAAGGATCATGGGACGTAGCTAGGGTAGTAATTAGGTATACTTATAACTACTTATAACCCCAATTAAGGTACTTATAACCTTACTTACTAAGTCCCGTGATCCTCCAAGTATGTGGTGTCTCGACTTGGTGAGTTAGGCGGTGCTCGGAGCCAGTTAACACATTTTAACGGCGTAGTCCTGGTTCTACCCCACCTAGAACTTCGTAGGTTTAGGGTTAAGGGCTTCAGGGTTTTGGTCGGGCTACAGGGTTCATTACCTAGAACTTCGTACGGTAATTACGAACGTGAACCCGCCTGTGGCTTGGAGTTATTCTCTTTTCGTATGCCACAAACAATGTGCTGTCTAACTGTAGGTAGGAACAAGCGCCGTTCCTGAAATCTCCACCCCATCACAATCGCGAACTTCGCCTTTTCAGTCAGTATTCAACGCCAGAGAAATGACTTGGCATCGCCAATACCTAGCGAGTCTAAGTACTCAAGTAATACATACGGCTCTAAAATAGCGTATATAGGAAACCATCGTACAGCTAAGTATGTGCTCTGTCCATACCCCTTAATTAAGAGACATTGCGGTGACATCGTGCTTAAGTGAAGCAACACCCCGAAAGCGAGACGGCTCGGGGGATCTCTGGCTTTCGGGTTTTGGGTCAGGGTGCGGAAAGGTAGAAAAGGCGTGAAGAAGTCACGCTGCCTTCGAGCAGGGTTCCCTGAAGAACTTTAGGTGTAGGGTTTCTAGGGTTTAGTTTAGATTTTATAATTAGATCATGAAAACCCAAACTACAACTTGTATGGGGACGGTGTTCAGGGATTCAGCGTACTAGCGTACTAGAAATCATCCGGGTTCTTGGATAAACAAGACTCGAGCTTCTTTTTGTTGAGATTCCTGCTATTGTGAACCCTCGATAGTTGGAACATGGGTGTATAAGATGAATAGTGCTGAGATCCCCTATACTTTACCTTTAAGGCCATGAGGATATTGATGTTCCAACTTTTCGGCTTCTACTGTAAAAGTCTCTGTTTTTAATCCAGAACAATCGAGGCGCAAGCTCCAACAAGTCCGGGGATCCGCAGGGCCTGAAATTCCCCTGGAACCCTATGGCCCTCAACATGGAAGAGCTTTTTTGGGGTGCAGCATAATCATTCTACATAGTTTTACGACAATAATGAGGGATACCATTGAACATTTTTCCGACCCCGAGTTCAACACCTTAAAACAACGAAAACTCTAATGCCCATACAAGATTGTTTATCCACTATATATAAACCCTTTGAAAATCACAATAGCCCATCTTGCTCTGAATGAAAGACCTATATTGGGCTCCTTCTCGGAACCTCAATGGAAGTTCATCCCAACGCTCGAAACCCTTAGTCCAGAGATCTGTAGCCCAAGTCCCTGCAGCCTGAACCCTTAAACCGCGACCTTGATCCCGCAAACCCCCAACCCCAAGCTAGGTTCTTGCCAAGGCAATTAATTTAAGCTACCATAAAGAGGATCTGCATGATATGATTTCCTTATTATCGTACCTTAAGTTAAATCCTTTCACAAAACCGCAGCAAACCCCAAACCCTAAACCCTGAACCCTAAACCCTAAACCCCAAACCCCAAACCCTAAACCCCAAACCCTAAACCCTAAACCCCAAACCCCAAACCCTAAACCCTAAACCCCAAATCCTAAACCCCAAACCCTAAACCCCAAGTCACTCGTGTCAAGAGGCCATGTCATCACTGGGTTGGAAAGAGAAGGGAAGGTCGGTGACCTTACCCAAAGCACTTTCCCGCGGGCGTGCTTTAGGGATTAGGGATTAGGGTTTAGGATTTAGGGTTTAGGATTAAGGCTCTTGGGGTTTAGGGTTTTGGGGGGCTTTCAGCTTAGGGCTTAGGATTGTGGGCTTAGGATTCGAAGTCATGGGTTCGGGTTGGGGCAGGGGTTTAACGGCTTTCGTCTGGAGCGTTAGGGCCTTCTGCTTGTATCCCCTGTATTTCGAATTGGCAATATGGTGTCCATAGGCTCCAATTGTAACTTCTGCTACTTGCTTGGACCAACCGGATCATAAGCCTTAACACCCTAAACCCCTCGCTCCGAGCCGAAAGAATCTTAAGCTGCAAACTACATAAATGCAGTCCTAACACGAGTCGAGTCAACGACGTAGGGCTTGGAGGCCGAAGAGCCCTTTACTACAGTTGATGATACAAATCCTGCATTACCCATGATAGGGAATATAAAATAATTCCCATAGTCTATAGTCATGAAGGTACTGCAGGATTTACATCATCAACCGTACTGTATGTGTTCGGGTCCTGAATACAGTCAACCTGTACATGCCGCAATGAAAACTACCCCAGAGGATGGGGCCTCACTTAGAAGTAGAAGTTTGCTCTTGGGATGTACATGAGGGTTTAGGGCTTCGGGTATGAAAATGCGCTACAAATATTCGGGTATGGATGGTGTACTATTTTATACTGGCAAGGTACTGTGATGATCAAGGCCCTCCAAGAGACGTTTGTGGCTGTTTACAGAGTGTCGTCTACCCAAACTCGATGCCTTCTCAAGACTAGTTCATGGTTGGGATAGGATTAAACATGTAAATTCTTATTCCTTATTGGGTTTAAGTACCCATAAAAATGTAAAATGTTACCCAACTATGACAAAGAAGAGAGAAGCGGAGGTCACGGGAGGTAAGCGACGTGGAGGAGGAGCGTTTTGAGGATATCGGGTTCAGGGGCGTGTTCGGGTTCGGGTTTAACTGGGGTTTGGGGTTTAGAGGCTGGCTTCGGGAGGTGGGGGGACTCTTGGGGATTATGATGTCGGATCTAGACTGTGATACGTCATCATAAGCGCCGAGCTCCAAATCCACAAAGAAGTTGTCATCCCCACCGCGACATTTGCGGCCCAAGATGAATACTGCGGTGCATCGCGCCCCTTCACACTACGCCTCCCAAAATCGGAAGGCTCCTCGATATCGTGACGGCCCTTCGATTCGTCTGCGCACGATATGTCGTAGTCGCGAGGTGCATGTCGCTCCTCTCAGTACGTAGCCCGGTTGCGCCCGATCCTGATCCAGCTTTTAGCTGCAGGGACGAGTCGCCTCGGGCCTTACGGGAGTGGAGCCACTGCCCAACTATGTTAACCTTAACCTACCAAAACCTATCTTTTGTAGGGGCCCTATAAATTCCATAGTAGGGTCTATACTAAGAACCTACGAAAAAGTAGGGTTTGGTAGGTTAAGGAAGAATCTATGGACTAATAACGGAAAGAAGCCGTGTATCCGTTCTGGGCTGTTGTTGCACCCCTCATCGTCTTCTAAACCCCAAACCCTAACACGCCGCAACATCCATGGTATCTTCCGACTTTCCGTTGAAGCAACGATTGCTACTATCATCCCTGGTGCTTCCTCCTTTACTCCGGATTTGCGGCACCCAGACCAGGTACTTGTGAAGAGATGCCCCTACCAGGTTCTCAAGGTGCCGCTTTAGGGCTTACCAGGAGGCTCATACCCTACCCCTTTCTTGGATACCTGGTTTTATGGTGAGTATCTGTTATATACAAAAATTGATACCCAAACAAATAAATGAAACCCTGGTTACAACCCTAAACCCCAAAGCCTAAACCCCTAAAACCCCAAGCCCATAAACCCTTATAAGCCTCAAATTGCTTGAGCCTGCCGGAAGAATATACGGCCGCCGAGTTCTACCATAGGGGCTGTAATTATTAGAATGTAGGGTTCCCTCAAAGGGTCTATATAGGGGTTACTATAAGGGATATATAGTAGGGGTTTGGGGTATATTGTACTATAATTCTACTAAGGAACCCCAAAAGTAGTGTAGATAATTATGTTGGACCCTATATTACTTCACTTTCCTGCCTTTTCCCAGCTTTCGGCCCAGGCACGAAATGCGACTCCTCGTAGGACAAGTTCCTGGGCTAGGGCGAGCTGGGTCCGATAAAGGGGGTTTAATGTTTGGGGCGGTAGGGTTTGCGGGTCTATCTTAGTTGCTCAGTTCATAAGGCACAAAAAAGTTGTCACTTTCTGTTTTTTAGTGGGAAATATTATCCCAAAAAGTGTACGGCGTCTGCTTTCAAATGCACGGATATTTAAATGGGTTAAACAGGTATATTACACTACCTCCGTGAAACATCGCCTGGGCCCGCCTCGAAATTTCCGGAAGTTGGCAGATCAGTGGTGGGTTTCGGGTTTAGGATTTTGGGGTTTAGGGTTTAAGGGTTTAGGGTTCAGGTAGATGCGAAACCTTTCAGCTTTAGGTTCAAGCCAAACCGAGCCAGCCCTCCAGCTTTCCTCAAGCCTTCCAGCCTTCCTCCAGCCCCAAGCCCCAGCCCTCCAGCTTTGCCGTCCCTCCCTTCCATTTTTTAGCCAGTGCTTTGCCCTCCAGCCCCAGCCCTCCAGCCCTCCAGCCTTCCACCCTCCAGCATCCAGCCTCCAGGCTGGAAGGCTGGAAGGCTGGAAAGCTGGAGGGCTGGAGGGCTGGAAGGCTGGAAGGCTGGAGCTGCAAGGCTGGAGGGCGGGCTGGAGGAAGGCTGGAAGGTTACGTCATACTGGGATTAAATGTACACATTTAAACAAATATTTTATACTACCTCTGCGGCCAGTGCGGCTGGCCCGGCCCCCATTTTTGATCCCGGTTCTCAGTTCACCGACCCCCCCCCCAATGGCATCCCCCCCCCCCCGCTCCCCAAGCCAAATCTGTGCGTGACTGTGCAAGCTTTTTTCCACACGAGGGCTCACACGCCAAGCAGACCCACGCAGGAAACCCAAACCACACCACACCCCGGGGGGAGTGGGGTAACCAGCCTAAGCAGACCCACTCCCGAACCACACCACACCACACCACAGGGAGGGGGAAGCAACCCACAACCACACCACAGGGGGGGGAGGAGGAACCATGGGGGGGGGGAGGGGGGGGGCCGGCCGAACCGGGATCATATATTTGAAAAACGTCACCGTAAAGTGCATCCACTCAGCTACTAAGTTATGGCTTTAAGCATAGAGTTTAGGGCTTAGGTTCTTTTCACGGCTGTGTTGAGGGATCAGTGCGGTTCTACAAAGCAGAAGAGGCTTCCTGTGTGGAGCTGCCCAGTCAGAATCGGGTGTGGTGGTATGCTCTTGCTACTTGGAGGTTCATGGGTAGTTATAAGTAGGGTTGTAGGGATTCCTTAAAGGGATCCTTTAAGGGCTCTATAGCTCTAAAGGGATCAGGGATTAGGGTGTTAGGGGAGTTAGAAGTAGGGTTATAAGTCCCCTAATGAGAGTTATAAGTATATGACCCTACTTATAACCCCAGTTTTAACTACCCATGAACCTCCAAGTAGACGATACGATGCGATACGACACGAGACCAGACTACTCTGGACTAGACTCTACTATACTGCAGCCCCCGTTGAAGCCTCCTTTAAGCCCTCTTAAACCCCCTTAAAGGCCCCACCCCCACCCCCCTAAAGCCTTTCCCCCACACAGACCCTGCACTGCTGAGAGGTTGGCCTCTCCGAAACCTCTTGAGGCCCCCTAAAACCTCTGCGTAGCCCAAGCCCCGAACTCCTAAACCCCTGAGACTCCCAAACCCTGCATCCTCCAACACCCCGAAGTAACCCCAAAGAGCCCTAAACCCTCAAAACCCTCAACCCCAGACCCTAAACCCTAAACCTTAACCCCAAAGAGCCCTAAACCCTAAACCCTCAAAACCCTCAACCCTAGACCCTAAACCCTAAACCTTAACCCCAAAGAGCCCTAACGGACCCTTCGACGGGTGCTGTCAAAGCTTCAGCGCATCCACGAAATATCGAGCTTGTAGCGTGGCCTGGTCCGGCGGCTTCTTGCGACGGCGTTCGGCATTGAAGACTTTGAGTTTCAGTGAATTTCGTGGGCTTTGATTTAAGCTTGGGGAGTTATAGGGATCGGCTAGGGTCTGTGGTCTTGGGGGTGTCTGAAACGGGTCTCTGAAAACTGCAGGGCATTTGCTTAAACACCACAAACCCGAAACGCCGGGCTGCATGGTGTAAAGATCCACTGATGTACTGTCTGAAACTCTCGTGCCCCGCCCTGCCTTCGGGATAACAAGTAGCTCCAAAAAGGAATGGTACCATAGACTGAACTCTTCCGACCCACGCTATGAGCACTTTAAGGCACTCAACAGAAATCGTACTGGTTTGGGGTTTAGGGGCTTAGGGTTTAGGCTTCGGGGCGAAGTATCCTAGCCGAACAAAAAAGCTACCCTTTCCAAGTATGGTAGGACATACTTCCCACAACAGGTCAAAGGTTATCCGTAAACCCTACACTACCCTTATAGATCCCTTAAAGGAACCCTTGTATAAACCCAAAAAGGGTGAAGGTTATCTACTCAGCTGGTAAGAGCATTCTAATTTCTTATGCTTGGGTGGCCTTTTCGAGCGCCTCTGAAGGGTGCTCGTAAACAAGATCCTCTTCGGCCCAAGAAGAGGAAATAGAACATATCACACAGGCCTACCCATTATGTACCTAAAACTACGTCCTAACATGGAGCCCTTATATAAATTCTACTGTAATCGGTACTCAGGACCCTTTCGTTACATCATCACCCTAAACCCTAAACCCCCAAACCCGAACCCCGAAACCCCTAAACCCCGTTAAGACCCTTTCGGGATACTGCACTCCAAAACATCCAGAGAGAGAGGCGCACCTCGACCAGCGAGTTGGGATGAGATTGGATGACCTGCGGTTTAAGGGGTTACCTTAACCTACCAAAACCTAGTTTTCATTAATTCCATAGTAGGGTTTATACTAAGAACCTACGAAAAAGTAGGGTTTGGTAGGTTAAGGTATGGCATTATAGGGATTTACGCCTTGGCTCGTTTTAGGGTTTAGGGTTTTAGGGTTTAGGCCTTGAGCTGCTGTCACTCTTGCTAGTCATGAACCCGGGTTCGGCGGTGAAGCCTTAGTGATTGCAGGCTTAAGGCCGAACTCCAAATCCTAGGCCCAAACAAGACGAACCCAAGAGTCTAGGGAACATTGCGGCCGCCTTAACAAGAATTGGGTGTGGTGTATAATATATTTTGCTATGTTGTGCGAAAAATGAAACAATGCTGGCAGCACAGGCGCCTCTACTTCTCTCTGTCTAAGCTAAGGGTCCATGTCCCAAAATACAAAGAAACCATGGCCCTGAAGTACCTACATAGGGACTACTTCAAGGCCAAAACTATGCACTTTTTGGGCACACTGAGCCTTAGGGACCCACCCTGAAAATCCTAGAGTTCGTCCAAGAGCGCTCCCAAGGAACGATGCCTAAATCAGACCTCACCTTAGCGACCCGAAATCCAAAGCTCTACGAGAGCGCGACCGACCAGTAGTAGTAGTAGTCGTCGTCGTCGTCGTAGTAGTAGTAGTAGTAGTAGTAGCAGGAGTAGTGGTGGTAGTAGTAGTAGTAGTAGTAGTAGTAGTAGTGGTAGTAGTAGTAGTAGCCGTAGTTATGTGCAACCCGAACAGGCCGCAGCAGCCAAACTTGAAGCCCTCGAAATCTTTCAAAGCGTGACTGAACCTTAAACCCAAAGTCCTTAACCCTAAACCCTAAACCCCAAATCCCTAAACCCTTAAACCCCGAACACTCAAAACCCTGCACACTCAAACCTCGGGCAGAGTTCCTGCTGAAACCAACCAGGTAAAACTCCCGAAGGAGGATGAGATGCTAGGAGATACTCAAATCTGGCTCAAAGGTGGAAAGGGAAAAACTCAAACACCCATCGCACTAAATCCTACACCCTTACTTGGAGGTTCATGGGTAGTTATAAGTGGGGTTATAAGTAGGGTAACTGTACTTGTAACTCATATCAGGGGACTTATAACCCCACTTATAACTACTCATGAACCTCCAAGTAAACCTCTGAAACCCTTAAATCCTAAACCCCTTGAGTCCTTCAACCCTGAAACCCGTAGCCCTAAACAATTACGATTTAGGGTTTAGGGTTTACGGTTTCTGAACCCTTAGAAATGCGAAACCCTAGAAGCCCGAGAACAAAAACAGGGGCGCCTTGTAAGCCTCGTCGGCAGCCATTGTCAGGAGCCAGCCATCTTTGTAAGCCTCCACAGAATGGTCGGCTTGGCGCTTATCCTTTCTTTTTCATAGGGTTTACGGTGGTTTGGCTGTTTGTTTCAACGAAGCTGTAGGATCTAAGGTTTAGGGCTGAGGGTTTAAGGCTAAGGGTCCAGGGGTTAAGGTTTAGGGTTTAGGGTCGTGGGCTGCCTCCACACGGTTCTCTGCTTTCGCTGATATACTTCCCCAGTATCATCGGGGAACTGATGGTTAACCTGTGGGATTATACGGCGATTAAAATACACCGACGACGTTGAAGGTCACCTACTCTGCTACAGTGCTGAGTTCGTCTATTTCTCATCGTTTGCGGCTTGAGTAGGATTCTGGGCAGGGGGGATGTAGACAATAGCTAAATGTGGATTATGATGGAGTCTTGCTGTTCAAGCTAGGGAAAAGACTACTTCTTTCGTGTGTTCCCCAATTGAAGCCTGTCACAAGACTACGAGGGAATGCTCTTAATTAATGCTCTCTTCTTGAGTTTGTAGATGCACTTTGGCTGTCAAGACTTAGGACAATACTTCCTAGGTGTTGTAGTGGCTTTGGAAGATACCATAGCACCATAGCGTGGAAAGCCTGTTACTTCCCAGCCTCCGCGAACGGACCCCCCTGAAACTCTTGCAAAACCCCAAAACCCTTGAAGCAAAAGCGTGTACAAAGCTCTACCGCCTAAGCTCTTTCTCAAGATCCTCTGAGACCGCTTCAAAAAACGAAAGCCTAAACCCTGACCTTGGCGCTATGCTTCCTTGTTCCTCAAAGGATCCTAAGTACCCACATACCAGACTGCAGGGTTTCTAAGTCTATCATCAGTAGGAGGTAATGCTAAAATACGATTAGGGTTTAGGGTTTAGGGTTTTAGGGGTTTAGGGTTTTAGGGTTTAGGGTTTATTTGAGAAATACCCACAGTAGTACCTAGGACCCTTTGGGCAAGAGCCCAATCACTCAGGGCAGCTTCGACGCCCAGCCTCAAGCAGCCCGCGGTGCACCCAATCCTGGAACTCAGGAATTCATGGCTTGACTCGGAGGATCATGGGACTTAGTAAGTAAGGTTATAAGTAACTTAATTGGGGTTATAAGTAGTTTTAAGTATGGGCACCCTAATTATAACCCTAGTTACGAAGTCCCATGATCCTTTAAGTACCTTTTAAGTCCTTTAAGGCTTCCTTCTCGGAAATCAGCTTCGGTTCAACCCAAGAAGTCCAAGATGCAATACAGAAGGTCCTTAGGCCTTAAAGCATCTACCGCATTGTTGCCCAAACTTGTTGAGTGAGATTGATGTGTCTATGCCCAACAACTAACACCCCGAACCCAGAAGCCCTAAACACAAGTTCATACCCAGAGGCCTCATAGTAGTTCCTTTTTGGGATTACCTTATAGCATTCAATGTATGAAGCCCCAAAAAGGAACTACTTTAGGGCCTTTCGCTAGTAACCTAAATTACCCAACCCCAAAAGCCCTAAGCACAAGTTCATAGTGCCCAGAACCTAAAACCCCACACCCAAAAAGCCCTAAACACAAGTTCATATTGTTTAGCCTCTTGAGCTTTCTTTTGCATTACCCATAGGCCCCAAAGTAGTTCCTTTTTGGGTTCATATATAGAATTCTATAAGTTAATCCCAAAAAGGAACTATTTTGGGGCCTATGGGTAGTGCTTAGGACCCAAGTCCGGGCCATGGAAGCACGACGCCACCGGCAACATCAGACCCTTCGCCGGGCTCAACGTGATCTTCAGCGGCGACTTCCGAGGGTCTTGGGGTTTTTGGCGGCTTCGGGTGCTCGAGGCTTCGGGTTCGGTGGATGCCTACTTGGAGGATCAGGGGACTTAATAAGTAAGGTTGAGGGTTCCTTTTAATAAGGGTTCTATAGGGTTCATAATACAGACATTCTATAATGGGGAGATCCAGCAGCTCGCTCTCATAGGGTCGAATGCACTCTGAGGCCTGTAACGCCTTAGGAGTCTCCGATGGAGTCATCCATAGCAGAATTTGTTGAGAGACAACTAGCTTGTGAGCTGTTGAATAAAGAAAGAGTAGAACACGGACAGTCGTCCGTCGATCTCCCAGTATGACCTCCATTTCAGAGGCAACTTGGAAATCTTTCCACGATCATATTTACTCTTCTCCACAGCCAGCAGAGCCCCGTCTCCGAGGTTGCGCGCCGCGGTTTCCAGCTCGCCTTTTCGCCACGCATCAAGCAGAACTTGCGCACCCTCAATCAGCAGCTCTTTACAAGCTGCCTTGGTCTTATGTCCTCTTTTCCTGAACATAAGTCCAGGTCCGGAGTTTGCAGCCAACGTGGGTCCAGCAGTGTCCCAGTCAAAGCACCATCCTTTCAGGCCATGCCCGATCTTCCAGCTTCCAACCGGTTCACCGTCATCTCCCTTCTTGAAGGGCATGACTGCAAGAATTTCTTCTAGCAACTCAGCCTGCTGCGCTGTAGGTACCCACAACTCGGCCGTGTTCACCATTTGTGGTACTCCAGGTGCGTTGACAATACCCAATCCGTTTGCCGCTCGGATGGTGCATGCCTGACGTGCGCCCCTCGAGGCGCACCATTCATCAGCAGCATCCTAACCCGCAGGCCCCTAAGTACCTATTCAGTAGAAAGTAGGGTTTCTCTAGAAAGAATGATGATTACGATTTGGGATGCATCCTCCATAACAGTACCCAGGACCCTTTGGGCAAGGGTTTATCTACTGAAGGGGATGTCAAAGGTTGCATAAGGGGTTGTAGGTTCCCGAGTCCCCTCAGGGTTTAGGGTTTAGGGGTTTAGGGGCTTAGGGGTTTAGGGTTTAGGGTTTAAGGTTTAGGGTTTAGCGTTACTTTAGGGATTCTTTGAAGAGATCCTGTAAGGGTTCCTTTCAGGGCTCTCTGGCCTTCACATGCCAGATTCTGATCCCCAACAGAATATCTACACAAGGAGTATGTTAGAAGGCTCAACAGAACATTTACACAAGGATTTTCTGAGAAGGCTTTGAAGAGCTAAAAGCACTATGCAGGGTTACAGAAAGGTTTTCATGTGGGAACCTGATTAGGAAGCCTTTGTGTCTAATGGCAGCAATATATAAGGATTCGTATAAGGGACATAGGTTAAGACCCAGGGTTTCTTAATCAGGTTCCTGCATCATGAAATCTGTTTTAGTGAGTGTCTTTTCCGGGATGGGCCCGTTGATCATACTTGGAGGATCATGGGACTTAGGAAGTAAGGTTATAAGTACCTTAATTGGGGTTTTAATTAAGTAGTTATAAGTATAGTTACGCTAATTATAACCCTAGTTACGAAGTCCCATGATGCTTTAAGTAGATGCTCTGTGGTGTGTTGGCACATGAAAGGGACCCTGAGGCCCGGAGGAGGGTAATTAGGGGGCACGGGGGCAGGGGACTATACTTCCTTAAACAAGCACGGTTTAGGGTTTAGGGTTTAGGGGTCCTCATTTAAAGGGGTGAAGGCCCCCTACCCCCTGCCCTCCTGAGGGTCCTTCTGACTCTACTAAACCCGATTACGAACCCTGGAGCCCAAGACCGAGGATCCAACCCAACACATCTTAAGTTACAAAGGAGAAAGTTATCACCCTAACAGGGGCCTTGATAATTAGAATACGGTTTTGGGGCCATTATACTATAATTAGAATAAGGAGCCACTAAGATAGTCTGCTAATTATTTAGGCCACTATAGTATCTTCCACTACACTACGAAACTAGGATGCCCAGTAACCTAGGATTAAAAACGGCTCCCTTTTTGGTATTGGGTACCTGTATTAGGGACCTGGGACTACAAAAAGGGAAAATGCGCTCACGGGGAGGCCTACGGAAAGGTGGCTGTGGCATGGGGGACGAGTTCAGTAGTCTACAGGGAGCCTCTTCCCAGGCTCTATGTTGCAACGTACCTATTTGGGGCATACGGACCCTTGCGGGGTGACTTCCGAAGTGTATGTATCAGTATCAGACTAAAGAGTCGATAACATAACTTAAGTTACAAGAATCCGGGCATACTCGGAGGTTCATGGGTAGTTAGAAGTAGGGTTATAAGTCCCCTTATGTCAGTTATAAGTTACCCTACTTAGAACCCTACCTATAACTGCCCATGAACCTCCAAGTAGAGCACAGACACTATCTTATTCTGGTTTAGGGCTTAGGGTTTGCGGCTGAGCTCCTGCACATTTCAAACACTTCGGAAACCTAAACCCCAAAACACACACATGCTTAAACCCCAAGATGTAAATCCTGCATTCTGAGCTTTTTGGGCCTGATTACACGTGCACAACTCGCAAACTACACCTAAGATGCCGGAAACCGCACCCCTAAACCCTAAAGCCATAAACCCTAGGCCCTAAACCTGTCCTTCACCCAAATGGAATGCTCACTCAAACAGTGCTTTCGCGTGATCAGCACCTGCGTCAGAGAAGGCTTCCGGCGATTTGAGGCTTAGGGTTTTGAGAATATGGGAGTTTCCGAAAATAGGGAACCCTAATAATTACAGTACCCTAAGATCCTTTTTACAAGGACCCCAAAATGAGGCACCCCTAATTTTCGGAAACTCCCATATTCGATTTCTGTGTCTTTGTTGTATTTGCTTAAGGCCACGTGTCGGTCTTGACAACTTGGGGTTTAGGGCTCTTCAACATTTACTATAGCGGCCTTATTAATTAGAACAGGGTTTTGGGTCCCAGTATACTATATTCATAATAAGGACCCACCAAAGTAGGATTGGGAATAGATTCGCCCCCTTAATTAGGGTTTAGGCTTTGGGATCCTTTAGGGTTTTGGCCTTCGAACTCTTCAGGGCTTACCTTGACCCCAAATAACCTACCTTTTTAAGGACTTATATAAGGAAATGATATGAATGATATAATATGGTCTTTAGGCTCAAAAGCCGTAATGTATGAGTCTTTAGAGCCTTAGGGTTTCCCCTTGCGCCACCAAGACAGCCAAACCGGGGTTCGGGGCTTTAGGGTTTAGGGGCTTTAGGGTTTAGGGGTTTAGGGTTTAGGGGCTTTAGGGTTTAGGGTTTAGGGGTTTAGGGTTTAGGGGTTCAGGGGTTTACAGTAGAAGCCAGAAAGTTGGAACATGGATTTAGGAGGATTTGTGCTAGGATCCCGTATACTTTACTTTAGGGGCATGAGGATACTAATGTTCCAACTTTCTGGCTTCTACCATAGAGACAGACCCAAACCATTCTCGACCTGAACCCTTCCTGGAAGCAGTGAAGAGTGAAGAGCCCTGGTTCTAAAGTGCCTAGGCAGTGGGGTCGACCGTGTTTAGGGGTGCAGGGTATTTGGCGGCTGCTTTGAACTAACATGTCCGCTCCTACTTGGAGGATCATGGGATTTTATAAGTAAGGCTATAAGTACCTTAATTGGGGTTATAAATAGTTATAACAGTATAGTTACCCTAAGTATAGCCCTCCTTACTAAGTCCCATGATCCTTTAAGTACCCAAACCACAACCCCTCGGACTGACCCTACATAAAAAGGCTAAGAGGTAGGTTATTTGGTTTCAAGATAAGGTTGAGGGTTTGTTCTCTGAGGGCAGTTTGTTAGTCATATGCTTAGTTCTCTAAATTGGGGTCCTTTCTGAGGTCGCCAAACTAGTACGGCAGCTGTAAAATTACGCAGGACTTTGGTACCCTAATGTAGAGGACCATCCATATGGTTGAGGTTGTAGAGGGTTTAGGTTTGGGTGTAAGATTTGAGGATTTTTCAAAAATTGGACTTATATAAGGAAAGTATAATATTAAGGAGCCCTAAAACGGTAGGTTTCCTAGGGTGTAGGTAAAGCGAGAAGATTCCAAGCCTTCTCCGTCACGGTGGTGGTCGTGACCTTCTCCACCTTGTTTAGGGACCCCAAAAACACATAAGCATAAGCTTTTTATAGTGATATCCCTACCTTATTGGGCTTCTTGATAAGTGGATTTATATGGGATATCCCTACCCTAATTTTTGCTTATGTGCGTTTTTTTGGGCCCTATTTGTGCTGCAGCTTTGATCAACGGGCCCATCCCGGCAAAAACACTAAAAACAAATTATGATGCAGGAACCTGAGGAAACCCTGGGTCTTTACCTATGTCCCTTATACTAATTCTTATATATATATATATATATGGCTGCCATTAGACACAAAGGCTTCTTAATCAGGTTCCTACATGAAAACTTTCTGAAAGCCTGCATAGTGCTTTTAACTCTTCAAAGTCTTCTCAGAAAATCCTTGTGTAAATGTTCTGCTGCGCCTTCTAACATAGTCCTTGTGTTGATGGTATAAATCCTGCATTACCCATAATAAGGAATATACCATAACTCCCATAGTTTAGGATCATTATGATAATGCGGGATTTATATCATCAACCGTTGTGTAGATGTTCTGTTGAGGATCAGAACCTGGCATGTAAAGGCCAGAGAGTCCTGAAAGGAACCCTTACAGGATCTCTTCAAGGAATCCCTAAAGTAACGCTAAACCCTAAACCCCTCAACCCTAAACCCTAAACCCCTAAGCCCCTAAACCCTAAACCCCTCAACCCTAAACCCCTAAACCCTAAACCCCTTAAACGAACTCGGAAACCTACAACCCCTTATGCAACCTGTGACATCCCTTAGAGGGGATAAACCCTTGCCCAAAGGGTCCTAGGTACTGTTATGGGGGATGCATCCCAACTCGTAATCATAATTCTTTCTAGAGAAACCCTACTTTCTACTGAATAGGTACTTAGGAGCCTGTGGGTTATCGAACCCCAAATGATCCCTGAGAAGGAACCTTATAAACCGAACTGGGCTTCGAGGCGCTGGTAGAGGGGCCTTAATACTCAGAATTGGGTTTGGGGGTCTATTAGTGTAAAGGCAATACCCAAACCCTAAACCTAAACCCTATAAACCCAATACCCCAAACCCCGAAACCCCAAAACCCTATACCCCTTAATGCGCTCAACCTACACCCCATTCAAACCCCGAACGAGGAGAAAAAAACTCTAAAAACACCGAACTCCCAAAACCCTAAACTTTAACACCAAAACCCTACACACCAACCCCCCAAAAAAACCTCTAAACCCCCAAAACCCTACACCCACCCGCCCCCCGCCCCCCTGAAAACCCCCAATCACCCGAACCCCCAGAGCATTCTCACGAAGCTGCCGAGGAGGACCTCTTCTTGGAGATGCCCATCAGATCGAGCCTGTGCTCTCTCTTTTTGCCAGGATCAAAGGGGAAAAGGAGGGACCCTTAAAGGGGACCCCTACCCTATAATGGGTACATATAACGGCTATATTAAGGGTATATACTTAGAAGTCCTAATTCAGGGTCCCTACCCTTGGATAGGAGCTTTAAATCTGTGGCCCGTGTAGGGTTTAGGGTTTGGGGTTTAGGGTTTGGGGTTTAGGGTCCAGGGTTTAGGGTAGGGTTTAGGGTCTAAGGTTTAGGGTTGTATTTATATATGTGTATATTTACATATGTATATATACATATATATATATATATACACACACATATTTATAGAAACCATAGTAAGGAACACTGAAGAGGTAGGCCTTTTCGGCTACAGGTAAGTCACTGTAGGGTTTCGAATCGAATTTAGGGAATGTAAGCCTGATCTTCATAGGGGGCTTAGGGGTTTAATAGGGTTTAGGATTTTAAGAGCTTAGGATTGAGGGTTCAGGGTTTGGGGCTTGGGGTCACATCTAAAAAGTCCCAAGAAAAATTGAAACTTATCTGCTCTATCCTAAACTAAGGGTTCGAACCCACACCCCCTGACTCGTATCAAGAAAGACTTTGCCAAGACGCATGCCTGAAACCCTGAACCCTACACCACGCATAATTTAGTGGAGTCTCCTTGGTGAATGTCAAAAACTTTGCCAAGTCGCCTAAACTCTAAACCTTTGAGTTCTAATCTTTGCCCAGCCGCAATCCCTCCAAAAGCCTTAAGCCCAAGTAAGGAATCCCTACTACTTTACCCTAAACTCCTCGACTACCTAGAACCTATGCACCCAACACTACCCTAAACCACCCAAAACTTTCCCAAGCCCACTGTCTTGAACCCTGAACCTCCAAGCACTAAACTTCAAAGCCTGGAAACCACACAGTTCAAAACCGCAAACCCCTATACCAGACCTGAACCTTACACCGTGAATTCTGCCAAGCTGCCTAAACCTCCACCCTTAAAACCTATAGAAACCTTAAATCCCTAAACTCAGGTTACTAAACCCACAGAGACTCCAATATCCCTTAATCGAGGAATATACCAAAAATCAAATTGGGGATCCTGCGATAATTTCAGGCACATATTCCTTAAATTACTTCAGGGACGTTGCAGTCTCTGGGCCCTGAACCCTAAACCCTAAACCCTAAACCTTAAACCCTAAACCCTAAACCCTAAACCTTAAACCCTAAACCCTAAACCCTAAACCCTAAACCGTTAAAGCACGAATTCCGCCAAGCCGCATGCTCCCTTGGCTGCTCTGCCGGTTGTACTTCAGCGGCGTGGGCGGCGTCGGCGCCTTCGCCGGAGCTCCGTCTTTGAGATTCTTCTTGGTGGCGCTTTTCTGATTTAGGGTTTAGGGGGTTAGGGTTTAGGGAAAAGGGTTTAGAAGGCTTATATGGGGTTGAAGTGGGGTTGCATGTAATAGAATTTCAGGGTGATTTCAGGGTCTGGGTGCTTATGGTGTCTTGTCGGGGCTTGGCTTATGGGAGTTAGGAAACTGACCAGAAACTGCTGCAGTGATGGCATGGTTCGGAGTCTCCAACCTTGCCAGAGGTACGCGGCCGTAAATGCATACTGGTTTTGTACTCTGCCAGCCTCCAAACCTAGAGGCCTGTCGGAGAGCGCCCCCCAAGGTCGTGTACTTAAAGGATCATGGGACTTAGTAACTAGGGTATTAACTAAGGTAACTATACTTATAACTACTTGTAACCCCAATTAAGGTACTTATAACCTTACTTACTAAGTCCCAGGATCCTCCAAGTAGAATTGGGGGCGAAGGGACCCAAGCAGGGTCGGAACTCTAAGAGCCGAAGAGGCTTGGCCTGACATCTCCATCGCATACTTGGTGGATCATGGGACTTAGTAAGTAAGGTGAGCCTTAGTGTTTAGGATTCCTTTTATGGGGATCTATAAGGGTTCCTATAATGGGATCGATAAGGGTTTAGGGTCTTAGTAAGCATGGTTTAGGGTTCCCTTTGGTGGGGGTATCATAGGGTTCTATATAGGGTTCCTTTAAGGGATCTATAGGGGTTCTATAATGGGGATCGTGGGACTTAGTAAGTAAGGTTATAAGTAACTTAATTGGGGCTATAAGTAGTTATAAGTATAGTGACCCTCTAATTATGACCCTAGTTACTAAGTCCCATGATCCTTTAAGCAGGACTCCAAGAGCTGATTGAATCGCATTGTGGTACTGTCAGCCCACCACGCAACGGTACGTGAGCCTGGTGGAATACTTCAAGACTTCTATAATAAGTCGGGGCCTTTTTTTTCTCGGCGGATCGCAAAGAGTCGGGGCCTTAATAATTAGAGTAGGGTTCTAGGAGTTCCTTATTGCCTTACTATATAAGTTATAGTAGAGTATACCCCCCCAAACTTAAACCCTATTCCAAGTGTTATAAGGCCCTATAGTACGGCCAAACCCCAGCCCGACGTGCAAACCCCCCCCAAAAAAACCCTGGAGCCGCTACTAGGATGCCCAGTAACCTAGGAATAACAAAGGGATCCCTTCTTGGTAATGGGTAAGTGTACAAGGGACCTGGGGTTAAACCTGGGTTTTCACCTACTTTTCGAACTCTGGCTTTGAGTCTAGGTTTCAAACCTGGATTTCAAAGATTGATTCGAACCTGAGATCACACTCCTTAACAAGTTGTCTTGTCATTTTGTTTGTCGGCAGAATTGGAATTGTTTTTGAGCTTTTAAGAGCGGGTCCCGCTTGAATGATTTTATGCGGCCTTTGTATATATCTGAATTTTCATGTCTTTCCTTTAATTTTATTTTTTTGTACGCCCCCTAAAGCGATTTCATGTGGGCGTCTCCTTTCGTCTCGAAGAAGGCGTCACAGTCTTCCCATTGGGCTTTTTGAAGAACGGATGCTTCTGAACGGTTTCATACGGTGTGTCTCTGAAATTTTCATGGTTTCGATTCTGTTTTATTCGCGTTTACGCCGCCCACTACTATGGGCTACTAGACCCTAAAGATCCCTATTAGGACCCTATTAAGGGTAGATTAAGCTTTAGGCCTAATAGCCCATAGTGGCAAAGCGATTTCGTGGGCCGGCCTCGATGATCTGAGTCGTGCCGGCCCCCCCGGCGCAAACCTTTTTCCCCTCGTTTGAACCCCCTGCCAGTGATCCCTCGTTTACCCAACCAAACCCCCGGGAGGATCCAAAGGGTAATTAGATACCTTCATGGGGCTTCCTACAAAGTACCCTGAGTAGTATAGGGCCCCAAATTAGGGGATCTACTTTCCCTTATAGATCCCTAAACCCTAAACCCTCAAGAATCCCTTATATAAAGGATCCCTTTAAGGAACCCTACTAAGGCCCCAAATTAGGGGAACTACTTTCTAGATCCTCCGGCCGTTTAAGAGGTCACTCCCAAGTCGGCTGACTGCGAAACCCCCGATTTGAATTGCCAGGTTCCCACTCTACACCGTTAACCCGAAAATTACTGAACCCTGAACCCGAAACAAGAATTGAGGACAGCCGCCACATCGTACATTTTGTTCGCCGCCGGTGTGCTTTTGATTTCCGTCATGGGTGGTGGGTGCATGATGCTCTTGCACTGCCTCAAAAAACAACTCAGCCGCACCGCTGGAGGAATGCCGTGCATCCTCGCCGCCGGCACACACTGCTCCATCCCCCCCACAAAGTTCTGGGCGAGAACGCAACTTTTCCCTGCCCCACTGCCCGGCGTGCTGTTCAAAGGCTGCCGAAAAAGCCTGTGCTCCTGAAGCCCAGTCCTACTGAGGGTTTAAGGGTTCGGGAGTTTACGGTTTAGGAGGGTTTTAGGGTTTTGGGCCCTAGTTTGGTACTTATAAGTCCCAAAAATAGCCAGTTACTAAGTCCCCTGACCCTCCAAGTAGGAGGGTTTTAGGGTTTTGGGCTTAGGGCCAGGCTTGAAGTTGAGGGTGGACTCGAGGTGATTACTTAAAGATTTAGGTTTCTGCGCGCAGCCTCAATCCGAAGCTTCGACTGAATCCTCGAATCCTAGACTAGTTCATGGTTGGGATAGGATAAAACATTTCATATATATATATATATATATTTCTATACCTTATTGGGTTTAAGTACCCATAAGAGTGTAGAATGTTACCCAACTATGACAAAGTAGACTAAGCCCAGAAGCCTAACCCCCCCATGCATGACACTCTGCCTCGTAGGTGTATCGACAGCGCCCATTGCAAAGCATGTACATTGCCTAGGCTCAGCCGTTGCTTCTTCATTCTTTAGGGTTTAGGTTTGTAGGTGTAGTGTTCTGGGACATTGAGTTACCATAATGGGGATCTATAGTACATTGTATCGATTCCTTAGCTTATTATGGTATCCTGAATTAACTAAACTCCTTAAAAAGAACCCAGCTTATCCTAGAGATTTGGAGTTTAAGACAAAACTCTTTTTATCTGTTCCTCATACTGCCTAAAATAGCCCGAATTAGCATAAGGATACCTAAAAACAGCCCCCTTGGAACAAAGACCCCAAGTAACGAGACCACCGGCCTGTACTCTGAATATTAAATCCTAAACCCTAAACCCTAGGTGCCGCATTATACTACTGAGCCAAAAAGGGACCCTAATTTTGACAACCACCCATAAAAAGTTCAATGTTAAAAAGGATGGGGGGATGCAAGCAAAAAGACTCCAGGGCTTCAAAGGCCCGAGGTAATGTAGGGGCCTTCATAAGTAGAATAGGGCTCCTGTAAAGGGTTCCTTTAAAGAGGGGTCTATAAGGGTTGCTACAAGGGTTTAAATAAAGGCTCCTTAGTAACTAGACTAAGCTTTTGGGCCCATTATACTGTACTATATTTATAATACGGATCCACAAAATGATATAGGTACTTGTTAACTACGGCCCCCCATATTATGTGGCTTAGGGTTTGGGACAGTCTTGGCTTTGAAGGGTTGGCTCACCGTTAGTTGGCTGCAAGACACCTGGGCCCTAGCGTCAAGCTTTCCCTGCTTTGGCAAC